ATATATATATTATGTATGTATAAAGAGTATCATGTACTCTTTTTATGTTCGGTAACACATACTGTCAATGATAAAATACGCATGTTTTTATTCAATAACTTTTCTGGAGACTCATCAGCACAGTTGTTGGGATGATTGACTATTCTGCGGGCAACTGTGGCTGGAATCACTAATGGGGTTTTTGTTGGAACTTCGTTGTTTGACGAGTTGTACTTTTCCATTGCTCAGCCCATTTGAAATAAAACTTCATATAGGAAGTTTGACCTTGCTGATAAGTTTTTTGCGGCAATGAAAGGTGCGTTATTCAAATTCGGCAGTAAAAAATGAGCTTCGTTTTACTATAGTCGGTCCAGCACAAAGCGTGTTTTTTTATGAATAACTGTTGATTCCACTTACATTGAGCTTTGATATTTTAAGTACTTACAAACCTGTCTAGTCTTTGCGAGCAATATTTTTCTCAGGCTTACAGGTTCATAAGTATGTTTCCTCGACCCAAGTGCCTTTTATCTACGCGTCCATCTGAGGTTGAAAATAAACATACATGATTCAAACATCTTGATTCAAATTTTTTTTAAACTCCCTTTGGAACACGACGTTAATTGGGAACAAGCAGAGAGCCACATTTTCTCATAGTTCAAACTCCAATGATTTCGACATTGTTTTTCAGTTTTTAACGCCGATTAGCTCTAATGAAACCACTTACTCTCAACTGATGCTATGGTTCTATCTCAGTGATTGATCGATCAGAGCAATGTTGTTTGAGGAAATTGTTTCAAATGCGTCATCGCCATTCCATCTTTTCGCCAATCTCCGAACCGATTTAATGGATCCATACGTTACAGTAGCGCATGTGTATATACGACCACGAAATCGTATTTTGTGGTTATCTTTTATTTCTTATAATTTTCCCGTTCAGGCCACAGGAACCCAGATTGCCTTCATAATCCAGCTCCTCTGCAACATTGGCATTGGTCTCGTCATTTCTTTCATCGTCGGATGGCAGCTGACCTTAACGGCACTTGGTCTCATTCCTATAATTATTGTGTCCTTCTATATCCAACTTAAAGTCGCAGCTGGGGACTCGACTGGTCGCAATCAGGCTTTAGAAGCAGCTGGAGCGGTAAAGTAGTTTTATATGTCCTCCTTCTCCTCCTCCTCCTCCTCCTCCTC